ATGAGATACCAGAAATAGGCCGGTCAAATATAGGATTCAAACACAATTTGAGATGTATTCGAAAGGTAATCAGCATTAATTCTTGATATATGCTTTAAACTACTACTTCAATAAAACTGTATTCTGAGCGGACCTGGTAAACTTTGAAAAGATAGGTGAATTCCCTTCAAACAGAGTATGGATGGTATTGAAATATTTGAAGTAAAGGCGGAGTTAGTACTTCTGTTTTAAAAGTTGATATTGGCCTAACATCTCAATGATAGTCCTTCGAGACAAGATTGTTTTATGCCATCATAATTAGCTTGTCGAGCTTTACACGCTGATATAAACTAGATTGAAACAGAGAGTGATAACGGTGTTCGCTTTCCAAAATAAATTAACTACATCTCCAACATTTACGGGATGACAGCAGAAAAACAGTTTTTAATGAAAACAATGCTACTGAATTCTCACTAGTGATAAGTACTTGTGCACATGGTGCTACACGATGCCATATACAGCGGGAAACCATCGTTTCTCATGGTTGTAAGTACGTTGTATATTGCAGTTTATACGTCAGTGCACGATCGCTCATAGCATTGTGTATAATCATTACTCATAATAGTGATCCACATCCTACGCTACTGTAATAGTAAAATTTTTCTTGACATTCGACACTGATTATTAGAAGAAAAAGAAAAGACATTTAAATTTGCCCTTAAAAGTCCAAAGAGGTTTTTCTTGCAACAGAAAGAAGACAACAATAAAAATAAAGCTAGTGGACTCTCAGTACGTTCATACTATAGCTAGAACAAAGTACTTTGTTCGTCCTCTAGAGCTACACAACGTCCTTTAGCAGAAATCTTGGACCTTCCAAGAACCTGAAAGAAAGAAATTTACATCTGAAATCTCGCTCTTAATCAGTTTATATGACTCTTAAGTTGTCCGGAAATTTTCAGTCAAAACGAATGCTTTGTTGTTGAGATATTGGACGCAGAAAAAAATCGGCAACATTTTGCGAAAAACTCATTAAATTCAGCTTTTCTTCAACATGCCATATGTCCAAGAGTAAACAACAGTTGTTGCTGAAAATTTCAGGGTAATCTAAATAGCGTATCAGCTATTTATGAGCATAATTTCAAGTCAAAATCTCTTTGTTTCGATTTTTTCTTGAGGCGGAATATCCCATAGAAGAAACATTTTCTTTATAGCAGTGTCCTGGGTTAGTGGAATGGTTTAAAATTTACGAGATGGTTTCATCAGATACTTTAATGCTATGTTTAACAATATCACTTAAAAAAAGCAAAGTCTCACGTCGCTTATATGAATAAAAAACCTTCAGAAAGAAAAGTGATGCTAAAATAATTACGAGTTGTAAACGATTCATTGCTTGGCTTAGGAGTTACTTAAGAATTATATCTTCATCTCTGTATGATTACTAAGGTCATGTCAGCTCAGAAGAATGTTGGTTTTTGCATATAAGCTCTTGCAGTGGAATTTATTGAAATTTTTCTAATGTCCCTTAGAAGGGACATTGGGTTCTTAAGGGTTAAACACTCAATAGTAATACCTTCTTGATCGTACTGAACCGTTTCGACCCAAGAGGAGAGATTGCTTCGTCAATCCTCTATCGAAACTGTTTTCAATCCCCGCTGCACACAAAGACTCATCATTTAGCTCGATAACTGAACCTATTACTACCTTTTCACAATACTTCTCTTTTGATTTCATACTGTTCCATAACTCGAGACCCGTAACTCAGAAAGTGTTTTTAGCCGACACTTTCAATGAACTGCTAAAATTAATTTGCAGTACGACTCTTTTTAAGCACTAGGTAGGTGAGGGATGAATGTCAATTACAGAAGCAACTCATCCTGATGGCCAAGCCGCCTACAAAACGAAATCGCTCCTTATCTGCCAGACATACATCAGCGTCAATAGAGCAAGATACATAAAAAATCCAACCAGATCACTGCGCTACTGCATTCTGTGTAAACTGAGCATTGAAAATTCGAACCAGCTTTTACAGATATCCAGATGTAAATATATAGGGTACCCTGAAAATAGCTATCAAGTGCCAGTTACATTCATGTGAAGTAGTCAATCTAAACACATTGCTTTCAGAATGGAAAAAGCGTTAACTGTGACAACACTCACACCCATCAGCAATGGAGACTTTCGAGCTTTTAGCCACTGTTAGCGTTCACGCTCACGAAGAGCGACGAACACAGTTAACGTGCGTGTGTGGTTTATTCTCTCTCTGTTTATTCTTTAAGAAAACAAACGTTTATATACGAACATGAAAAACAAGGACAAAAGTAGAAAGGAATAGAAAGGTTAATCAAGGACAAAGAAGACCAATAGAAACGAAATAACAGAAACGAAAATATCAAAGAAAAGAGAATAGATAGAATCGAGGTATATGTAGTTACAATACACTGTAACAGCCACTAATTCGGTCGTGCCATTACAGAACAAACCCTTATCACATCTACTTTACCATTGATGTTCAATCAGCTGATCAAATCACAATCTTTGCTTCGAAGTCAGCAAGAGAGGTGAACAGAATTCTGATGAGTATTGTTCCTTTGTCATGTGATCTTCGATTAGCTGATCGAGTCACAATCTTTGCTTCAGTGAAAGGAGAATGTGTGAAAGGATCAGTTGTGTGTGTGAGGACAACATTAGCACGTAGAAGTGTATTTCCAAAAATAGAAATTTTACGAAGGTGTAGGAAATGTGATGAATATGTGTATACGAAGGGTGAATATGTTTTCCAGTTGGTGAAATAGGAAAGATGACCACGAGAATACATACATGCTCGACTTAAAATTCCAATTCAATTGAAGTTTCTAGTTTTCCGATACGTGTCCACTCTGAAAGTTGGAATCAACTTTTCAATAATGCAATAAATAGTTACTAGGCATGCATCCAAACTCAACAGAAGAATTTGGATATTTTAAACTTCTCTCAGAGATTATGAACTATATGAATAAACTGTAACGCAATTAATATTGAAGGAAGTCTGCCTTTGACAACTGAATGGAAAATGATCAAATGAACTGCTTCCTTAAGTAAAAGATTCAAAGAAAAATGAACAACTTCCCAAACCCAAACTCATTGGGTCTGTATTTTTTGATTGAATCTAATATTTGGTCTAGGAAGGTTGCCAAAATCCTTCTTTTGGTATTCTCTGATGTCACTCTCGTCCGCTAGTTTTTCACTGGAGAAAAACTGTTGTGTTACACAATTCAGTATACAGGGCATTTTTTTCAAGTAGAGGCATGATGATTAAAAAGTTTTTATTTATATATTGTAGAACACTTCGGGCGTTTGAATATAGCTTGTTGCTTCTTGTAGTATTTGAGTCTCTTTACTTGATCATTTGATCAAAAATTATCATAGAAATATTTCATCACACTGCTAGTTAAGAGTTTGGCGATAACGGACATTTATATCTAATTGATAGAAGAAAGCAATGGTCTCACAATAAACAACTGATAAAGCTGCTAATATGCCAAAGAATGAGTATACCATAAACAAACTCTGGTACAGAGGTGCAGAATCTTCCTCATGCGCCCCCGCGCGAGGGGGGAAATTTTTTGAAAAACTCAAATAATAGGGAAATTTTGGAAAAACCCGCTGGCCAAAAAAAAATACAGTGGGGAAATTTTTCAAAAAACTTTTTTGCGTGGGGGAAATTTTTGGATTTTTGGAAGATTCTGCACCTCTGCTCTGGTAGGTCAAAGAAGTTTCGTACTTCTGATCACTTAATTTACGTTTCGATTGATAAAGACAAGAGCAAATTCGTCCAGCTACATGAGTATTCATTGAGATGACCATTTGTTAAAGTGTAACCACATTCTCATGTATCTTTTGAATTTATAACACTTGAAATTGTTTTCTTTCCATGAAATGATACTCATGACGCTGAAGAAACCTCATCATCAACACAAAAATAGTCGGCAGATAGCTTTTGTGATCCAATTATAATATCTTTTTTCTGATATCTTCATCTCATCCCTGATTGCAATACTTTGCTTTCGGGATCTCATCGGTTATTTTGTGTGAAACAAGATTATGACAACTTTTAAATAAAGCAACCTATGTAGAAATATATAAAAGTTAGAAAACTTCAGATTGTGTATAAGTCAGAACATTCGCTATTTCATATTGATAATGTGAACAATAATGATATCATGTTCATGTATCTTAAACAAGGTTTTCAAATTCTTTTAAGCGACAAGTTTTTCGACATTGGAAACAGTTGAATTCCTGTTTTCTCAATGCTTTTCGAACATTTGAGTAGAAATCCATCATCATTATCAAAATATACACCGTTATGAGATTCTGGTCAAACAATGTATTCAATAATAAACAAAGCTAATAGTTTTATGAAGAGTTTGTTGCCAGTTGAAACAGAAAATGTGGTCGATGTATACATTATTTCAAATAAATTCCTCTATTCTTGGCAAGATAGATATTTGCATGATTCAGCGGTGGAATTACTTTATTATTTCTTTGATTGAGAAAAAATGCACCATATTTTAGAAAAAATAGGTATTGGTTAGGTTTTAGATGTTTTCTAATGCTCCAACACTTTTCTAATCCATCATGCTGAAAAACAGTTCTGTTTTCATTAACAGTGGTCTTGAGCACAAAGATGTTACGTCCGAAAAACCTAGACGCTTAAATCGATCAATCTTAGAAACCTTTAAGATATAAATATATTTCTTCAAAAAACTTTTCCGCTTTTATGTTTCACACTACCAAGATTTCCTGCTTTCTCAAAACAAAAACGTGCACCTTTCTGCCTATGCACTTAAAAACTTCTTCTAATATCTTCTATCAAATAATTCGCAAGCATAAGAACCTAATATCTACCGATGAATGACCTAGATTAGTAATTGAATCAACATCTTTCAAGTAAAGATATGCATTTCTTTTATTGAAAAGTTCAAAAAAAAAATCTTATACAAAATACAATACTATGAGGTTTTTTTTCATATGCCATATTTGAATCATTCATTTGTAGGAATCATTGAGTTTTCATTCGTATTAGCAAACCAATCATTTGAATTTGAACCTTTTCGAGCTAGCAAACGAATCGATTTACTCATTCCAGCTGTTTCATCTTTGTTAACAAACATAATATCAAATTGTTCTTCACTAGCTATTTTCGCACGAATTGGAAAATGCATTATATCAGTTTCAGTTATAAGTTCAATTGATTGATCTAATTGATAAAGACCTTGAGATTGTTGTTGTTGTTGTAGTTGTTGTTGACTTTGATTTTGATTTTGATTTTGATTTTGTTTAATAATTGCATAAAGTTCAATCATGATAGATCGACGTATACCAGCAGCAAGCTTTAAGAAAATAATTTTATTAAATAAACAAATAGAAAATCAATATACATACAAGTCCTGGTTGAAAGACTACTCGTAAACCAGTACCTAATGGTGGTTGACGAATACGAAAACGACATGCATCAATACCAACATTTTTTATTTCAATTTCTGCTCCATAGGTTACACCTATATTTATGTTTAATTTGAGAAAATTTATTATTTTGCAAATTTTTGCTCACTATTTACCTTCTTTTAAAATACCAAAATCAATTCTATCAGGAAAAAGTTCACAACCACGTCTTTCTCTTAATGGTCGATTATTAAGAGCAGCTGTACCAATTGATGCATTATTAGGTCGAACCATTACAGGTTCTTCCATATCAAGAAACTTAATATTATTGAGAAAAACGAGTTATTTATGTCTTTCTACGTCAAGTAAGAATACATACACGTGAATGAGGTTGTGCATTTGGTCGAGAACCTTTCAATCCAGTTGGTATTTTAATTGGATGTGCTCGTTTATTACCATATGCATTATATTGAACATAACCTCTTGATGGTATGAATTGTTTTACAGGACGATAAACACCTTCTTGGTCATGTTGACCAGAACCACCTATTGTTTTATTGTCTTCAGCTTCTAGAAAATCAAAAAATCTTCGTACATATGTTTTTTTTTCTCAAAATAAATTCAGTCTCTATTCGTATATAAAATGATTTATATAAGAATCTTTCACTCACCTGTACTAACACTACGAGCTGGTTGAGACTTTCGAACTTGTGATAAACGATTTTGTTGATCAGTTGGAGAATTTGGAGGCGATTTCATTAAACTTTGATTACCATATGATGATTCTAATATAATATATTAGATATATTTTTGACAAGAAAAAAATTCTAGAATTACTAATCGCTTCTGCACTTCTCGATTCTCTGGTTAGAACATTTTCTGTTTGTTGTTGTTGTATATATGCCATTCCCCATTCACTTTTAAAATAAGGCATAGTTATACCTTTTTTTATATCATTTTTTAATTGTTTATTGAATTTTTCTTGTTTAAGTTCATCATTTAAATGATCAAGATTAAATTTTTTTGATAATGGTACAACTGATTGACGTGTTGTTGTTGTTTTTTGTCGATCAGGATGAACAGTTTTAAGATATAATAATGTTAAATCATCTAATAAATATAGAACAAATATTCAATTGAATATGAATACAATTAAATTCAAAACAAGCCTTTTGTTGTTCCTTGTGGTCGAACATTTTTCCAAATTTTATTAGCTCTTTCTTTTTCATATCGACTTCGATTATCATGTGGTAATAATTTTGTATGATAATCAGCTCGATTTTTAACAAAATCAATATAAGATCTAATGTAAAACAAAATGAAATCGAATGAATCTGTTTTTTTTTCTAATTTCTTTTATCATACTTTAATGAAGTAAATAATTTAATTCGAGTATCATCTTGAAGTCTTGGAAATTCCATAAAATTACGATAATCAAGTGCTTTAGGCATTTCAAGTAATGGTTGTTGATTTGAAAGACCAGTTGTTAATGTTGTTGATTTAAATTGCTGTTGTTGATTATTTTTACCCGTTTGTCGAAGAATAGCATTATCTTGAGTATTTAAATTATTTGTTGATGAATTATTACTTTCTGACATTGATGAATAACTACGAGTCATAGCTGTTGCTGATGTATAATTACGAAGACTTGGAGGAACAACAGAATCACCATCAAATGATGTTAACCAACGACGATGAACTTCATCTATTGAAGACTATAGATGAAATTTGAAAACAAAATGAAAAATTTTTACCTTGAAATGGTCTCATTACGGTAGCTCCAGTTACTTTTGGATTACTTAATAATGGTTCGCGAACAACGGCTGTACTTGGATCAAGATCCATTGTTCGTAAATATGAATAGAGATCTTTAAAACGTAATAATTCAGTACCACTACCATCTTCATGAACAATAAAAAATCTAAAAATTATTAAAAAGAAATAGCTTCAAGAATTTAAGATACTCTTTTATTTAAAAAGTTGTTTTATTTTCTTTAAGATACTATTAACATTCATTAAAGATGAAAAATTTTAGGATCATTTTCTAACTAAATTTCTACTTCTAATAAGTCTATTAATAGCAGTTCATAATCTCAGTTCTTATAAATGATAGAAAATATCACTATATATTTAAAGGGTGTTTGATATATTATACAAAAAAGACTTTTATATTGCTGCATAACTGTTTTAATTGATCAGAGCTTATTATTCTATAAGAAACAGTACAACATAAATTATAAAAGAATATCAAAAACAACACAAGATCGCTTGATACTTCTTGAAACTAAAATGAAGTTCATAAGCGCGTTAAAAACAATGTATGTAAGCATTTTTCTTACTTCTATGAACAGAGTTAAGTATTTTTTCTCTGGAAAAATCATTTCTTCTCTCTATATAATGCAAGATTCACAGAGTTACGAACAGCATGGCAAAGAGAATGCATAGCTAGATTAAATTAATGAACTCTTTGACACGTTCATCTGTATTTAAGATGCAAGTTGCTTTTCTCAGATAGCACTGCAGTTCAAAAGGATACATTTGAAACTCACTTCTTTTTGTTTCTTTCTTAGATTCATTCTTTGTAAATATGTTTTCTATCATAAAAGATCTCAAGAAAATTGGGGAAGAGAGTGCTTCTAACTGTATAGAGAGACGGGAAATCGAATATTTCTGTACGTTCAAATACTTAATAGGAATAGTTTCCTTTTTTTCACACAACTTTCAGTGAAATTCTGAAGTTTAGTTTATTTCAAAGAGTGTTTCAAAGGGTTGTTTTTTGAAACAGTTGTATGATATTTTTGACTGTCATTTGTATTGAATTTAATTTTTGTCTTTTTACTATATTCTACTGATTAAATTCGAATGTATTTAGAAAATAAAAAGTTTTCCATAGTTTAAATTTTGTTTATAAAATGTGTGTTTATTTTTTTCTATTTTTAATGTATTTATTCAATAATAAAGAGGAAGTACATTTGAACAAGCAGAGTTTTTCGAAAGCTTTTTTTTTTGTAAGCTTTTCATTGACTAAACTTCTATGAAGACAATACAATTTTTCTCTAAACTGTCATCATAATAAACTAAAGATAATACATAAATTTATATAATCTTAGTCGATAATAGGTCAATCTCTCAGTTAGTCAATTCTATCGAAGACTTTTTTTTTGTCCTTTCTTTAAAAACTTGATTTATCACTCTTTCATATTCTCTTTAATAAACGTTTCTATTTACCTTGGTACATGCATTTCTAATGGCATGGTTTTCGTCATTTGACGTTGATCAGTTTCTTTTGAATAAGTTTCTCCAGATGTCTCAACACAATATTGAGTTTGTTCATGATCAACAGCATCGAATATCAGATCTCCATTTTGTGATAAAATACATTTACTTGGCTCAATATTTGATAAAAGTTCTTGAACACGTTTTGCATAAATTGATCTAAAATTAACATATAAAATTTTAAATAATTATCAAAATAAAACTTACTGTTGAAAATCCAAAAGTACATCACCATTATCATTAATATCAAATTTTTCTCCATCACTTTCAAATATTGAATAAGTACCATCTGCAAATACATCTATTGAACTACCATCATTAAATACAGTACGACAATCAGTTGTTTGACAATTGAATGCAACCGTTGCATAACCCAATGCTTCAACTTTAACATGAGGAATTTTTCGAAAGCCTAACATTGAATTATTACGTTCATCTATTTTAATTATAAAATTTCAAAAATATATATGCAATGATTATATTTCTACCTGTTTCTTGATTAGTTGGACTATTATTTTTCTGTTCAACAGCTTCATAAGTTGTTATTCTAGATAAATAAATAAATAATTAATTAAACAAAACCGCTTATATAAAAACAAAATACGTGAATAATTCTTCAACAATACAAATTATTTTACATCGTTTTCTTTTTCATTTCTTTCATATTGAAGGTCTGTATATATCAACATCATAATCACATTCGTATAAAGATTTTCAACGAATTCTTTATTAGAGTTAAGTTAATAAAGTTTATAATATTTGTAAAACAAACGTTCAATCTTTTTCAAACTAAATGACAGTATATCGAGAGTTCGAGATCTACTCAACAGGCTCTACTAACGAAATCTCTATCAGAGAGCATATTAGATCATGATGAAGTGCTTTCATTTACATAAATCAGCGAATAGACATAATCTGAAAAACAATATATACAAGACTCTTATTATGGTGACCAGACAATGCGGCACAAATGTATGAGGATCTTTTGTATACTCCCTCACACACAGCGAGTAGTCCTAGTACAACTTACTATAAAAGAAGCTATGTGTAATGTTTTGTAAAAAAGAAGAATTAAATAATTATTGCCACACTTGTATAAATTACTTGAATTGTTAAAGAATTATTTAAGTTTTATTGTTCTAATATAAATCTTACCTTGTGCCATCAGCAAAACTAATAACTCGAGATCCATCAGAACGAAAAACAATAATTACTTTATCTTCTCGATGAATGACTTGCTAAATAATGAAACAGATAGATGATTAATTGCTTAAGTTGAATTTCTTTTTTCGTTTTAAATTACCTCATTTGTTTTAGGATTTGTTTCAAGAATTAATCTTAATTGATCAACTTTTTCATATTCTTGATTTGTTGAATTTTGTATAAATAATTGTCCATCAGCAGTAATACATTTCCATTGATAAACATTTTGTTTAACTTCTTCCGTAATCGTTGATACATCTGTTTCTTGTTTAGCATCACTTTTCTTTTTTCCTTTAAAATCACCTTTACTTTCCTTTTTAGCACTATGTGGACTTTCAACTGGTACTTCTATTTCTGGTTCATTTTGATGTACAATTGTTTTCATAAACATTCCACCATCAGGTTGAAGAATCTATTGATTAAAACAAAAGAAAAAATCCTAAATAAATCTCACAAAAACCTAATTAACATTTAACATACAGTCACTTCTCCGTCACGTTTAAATATCATAACATGTCCTTCAGCATCAATAATACGTGAATTTTCTTCATATGCAGTTAAACGTGATTGTTCACATGTATGAAAACCTTTTGATTGACATGGATAATATTGCTTAACAACAAGTTTATGTGGTTGCTTAGCTTCAGTTGGTTTAACACCTAAATTGAAGAACGAAAACAAACATTCTTTTTAAAATAAAAATTACAAACACAACAAAATTTTTACCAAGAAAAGTTTCGGGATAATATGTAACAACTAAACCAGTTGGAATTGAAATAGTTAAACGTTGAAATGGTTCAGCTTCGTATTGTGGTTCAGCTGGTGGTTTTTCCTAAAGATGAAAAAAAGAAGATTACATTTTTGATTGATCATGAAAAGTGAAGGAAATCATTATTGATTTATCATGTGTATAGTGAAATTTCTTAATCGAAACAAAAAAATGAAATCATATATGAAGTGAAATCAAAAAATGTGTAGAAGCAATATATATATATATATATATGTACAAATGCTAGTCAATAAGCACTACCTCGACGACTGGTACTATTACCTATAGTATAATTATGATTTATATATCATTTAGACATGGCGATTAAATGATTAAATTCAGATTTTTAAATAGAACTTACAGCTGGTGGTGTTTCAGCTTCAACTGCTTTGCCTTTTTTCTTGCCTTTAGCACCTGCTGCTTCTTTCTTTTTATCTTCGACTTTTTCTTCAACTGGTATTTCAGGAGCTGGTGGTTCAGGTGGAGGTGCTTCTATTAAAATAAAATCAATATAAAATTTTTAATCAATTTATTGAATAGAAAAATTTACCTTTCGGAGCTTTAGTATCATAATTACTACAAGATAGAATCATTCCTGAATTGAGTATAGCTGTAAATACACCATATTCAGCAACACGTTTTTCTGTTGTTGCCGTTGGATGATTATCTTTAAAGAAAACTAAGATCATACATGAATATATTATTCGAAGAAATGAACAAACCATCTGTTGGTTTGGTTGTTTCATCCGTATTATTTTGCTCAATTGTTGATGGTTGATTATCAGTATTCGAAGCTTTATTTGGATTAATTAATTGTATTTTATATGAGCTTTTATTTCGATATAAACTAAATATTAATGAAAGTTTTTATGATTATTTATAAAGAATTTTTATAATAAACCTAGTTGAAACACATGTAGATCCTTGTTTCAAAGTATCAATACGTGATCGAACGAAACATCCATCAGGAAGAAGTAAATGAGAAGTACTACATTGTGCACTTAACAAACGATTACCAAGACTATATCCAATAAACTAATTATAACGATAAAAGAAATAAGTCAACTCGAATAGAATATCAAATATTTTAAAATTACTCGTTCAATAGGTTCGTTTGATTCTTGTGGTGTTTTCATTCCCTTAAAAAAAATATAGATATCAAAAGAAAATTATTAATTTTCTTTTTCTTTTCTACAGATCGAAAAATTTTTACTTACGGCTGCTTTTTCTGATGATGTAGCACTAGTTGGTCGTTTTGTTTTAGTTCCTTTTGGAGATTTCTCTCGTGGTGTTGGTGGTTTAGCTGCTTTTTCAGCTGCTCGTGGACTTTTAGCTTTAGGTGATCGATTACCTGATGGTGGTCTTTTTGCTTTAACTTGTTGTTCTTGTTCTACTGTTTCTTTATCTTTTTTTTGTTTCCATGCTTTTAATGATGTTGGGTGTACATAATCATCACGAATTGCTTTTTCTTCTTCTGAACTGTTTCCACTATCAGAACTAACACTTGGTGATCGAGTCGGTGATGTTTCTGAAATAAAGTTGTTTGGTATGTTTTTCTTTTCGTTTGAAAAAATATAAATAAGATTTAAAAGTACTTTTTCCTGCTGCTGCTTTTCCTTTTTTGCCAGCACCTTCAATAGTTGCAGCAGCTGTTTTTAATGTATCAGGTGTTGGTGTTGTTTGACGTACATATGTTCGTACTTCTTGTGCAAGTATATCAGCTTGATATTTAGCTTCTTCATCTCGAAGCCAATCAACAATTTCATATGATATTTCATCAAGAAAATTTCTATTAAATTAATAATTTAAAAATTTTCATTTCAACAAAACAGAAACTTTTATTTTTGTTCGTACCTGAATCCAACATCAGAAAACAATTTTTTACTTGTATTTTCATAACCAATTGTTTTACCTTCCGGTACTGGTAATGAAAGAATGATCATATGAGTATTATCTCGTCGATTATAGTACACATTAATATGTGAATGTGTAAATAACGCTTGTTCGATTACCTTGAAAACAAGAAGTTTTAATTCTTCTCGAACAATAAAACATAATTGTTACAAGATTTAATTTAACCCATTAACCTATCTGTTGGGTCATTTTTGAGTCATTCAAAGTGAGTGACAGTAAAAGTGCTTTTTCTATTATTTCGTTTTCACTATAAACTCGCAATTAACAATGAAAATTTTCCGGTTTTTTTTAATAATCTACCTTGTGCATCAAACAGTAACAATAAGAATAAGCGATTTCGAAGCGCAATCAGAACCGATGATTCCATATTACAAAAAAGAAAAGGAATACTAACAAATTCAAAACGATTCTAGAAATGAAACACCTAATTTCACTTCGATAAAGCCACCTTTGTCAATGTCTTACCATATATTATACTCATAATAACTAATTTTTCAAAATAAAAAAATTCATGCTAGGCAGGCTTTAAGCTTTGTACAGATAAAATAAACACAAAATTGAAAAATACCGCTGAAAAACTAAATGAACAAAAAAAATCCAATTTTTATGCTATTCAAGTCGTATGAATAATTTTTGACTCATTCTGCACCTTAGCAGTGAAATGACTTCGTTCAAATTTAACTATACCAGTGCCATATTAAGCACTTATATAGATTATTCACATAGTCGACTCAACACTAATTCTAGTGTATTAGTATCAGAGGGTAACGGATTAAATATAGATGACTTATAATTAATTAATCTATTGAAATAATTTCAGCTTAGACTACGAGAGTGCATGCAGATGTAAGTGGTGATTCTACTCATATCCTATAAAAATTCGACCGTAAATGATATTCAACTATTTGTATTCTATAATATTTGTTTAGATACATACTTGTGCAAATACATCAGGTTCAAAATGTTCAGCAAAATTCCAATCATTTAAATTTCGTTTATGATATTGAGTAATATTTTGAATTGTTCCATCAACATTCGCACCTCCAACTGGTGGCATTAGATGAGACATTTGTTGATAAAGATTATTGTCTGGATTATTAACATCAAAACGAACAGTATATACTTTTGAAATCAAAGAAAAAGAAGGCAATCGAAAACAAAGTTATTGTTAGTAATAAAAAAAAAAACATTAAAATCAAATGTTAGTTCTCTTGAGAAAAAGATGATGTTCAAAAGAAAAAAAACAAATAAATCAATTCAATTAACTATCGATTGGCAACAAGTGATTTAAACTTTGTCAACCTTCGACAAAAAAAAACACACACACACGCAAATGCAGACATTAGTACCTGAATCTAGTTCTGTAAGATAATAATTGATAAATAAGATTTTTTTGAAAATTCTTTTATTGAAATTCTTAAAACAAAAGATTTTTTTATATTTAACTAACCTGATCGTTTTGGTGATTGAGCTCGCATTCGTAAAATTGATCCTCTGGAAGCTAAAACAAACCGATAGAAATTTTATCGAAAACTTTTTTTTTTTTCTAAAACATACATCGACCTGTTGGACTTGATGGAAGTGTCTCAGCTGAAATTCCAATTCTTCCTGTTTGTTCATTAATTATTAATAATTCAAATGGATCATCCCATATAATAGGTTGTGCATTAATTGCTTGTTTATTTTCTTCGTCAACTAAAGTCGATAAACGTCTTTCAAAACGTAATTGTTCATCTTCATGATTATTATTTTCAGCAGATGATGGACGACTGGTTTGTTGTTCATTAGAATTGTCTGTTGTTGTTAGATTTATTGGCATACATTCAAAAACAAATTGTTTAAGAATATGATCAACATCTAAAGATAATAATTAAGTAATATAAAAAATTCGTTTGCTTTTTTTTTTGTTGTTGTTGTGAAACACGACTTAAACAGAATGTTGAAGTATTGAGGTAGAAATATATGTTTGAAGAGGATAATGAAGAAATATGTCCCAAAATAGATTAGAATAAAACAATCTTCTTGTAATTAGCAACAACAATTATATCGTGTTTCATATTTTAATCTCATAAAAATTGTACTAACACCGTGGTTTTTTTGTTTCTACTGACCTGATAGAAGAAGTTCTTCATCGGTACAAAAATGTAAAAATTGATTAAGACGTGCTTGACGTTCTCTAGATTCTGAATCATCAATTTTTTTTGATGATAATTCAGGAAGATTAGTAAGACGTGAATGTGACATTATGAAATTATGTTCTACTTTAATTGGATCAAGTATAGCTAAACGATTTAATGTTGCTAAACGTTGTTTTATATCATCACCATTATAAATCATTAGTGGACCTGATCCAGTAGCTTTTGAAAATGGAGATTTTGGAACAAGATTTTCAATTTCCTAATTAATACAAAAATAAATATCTTATTTGATTTTTTTTTCATGTAAAATTGAATGTTTACTTTTTGTTGTTCTTTTCCCATAGAAAGACTCATTAATTTTTCACGTAAATATCGTCCAACATCATCTTGTTGATTCGATGTATTTTTATTAACATTATTAGTTTGAGCTTCAACCTAAAAGTTTTCTTTTAGTTAAATAAAACAAAACCAAAAATTGATTGTTTTTTTTTTGAAACATACTTGTTCAAGAATTCCATGTAAAATAAGTGGGATACTTATTGATTCCGGTGGAATAGTTGTCGTTATTTCATTATAAATTTTTGCGTCGGTTATTGTTTCAATTGTTTTCTCTTCTAAATAAATAATAAATTCATTATTTCAAAACAACAAAACAAATTAAAAATGTAACATATACAAACCAATAGTAGGTATGGTCACAACTTTCATTTGTTGATTAAATGTATTAAATTGTCGTTTACGAATATTTAAACGAAAACTATTTTCAACAATACTATTATAAAGTGATTGAGCTAATTTAATCTATTGGTTAAAATAAAAAAGAATTCTTATATGTTTAATATTTAAATTTTTAACTAACTCTTTGTTCAGTATTACTCCATGAATCAGGCACATCATCATTTGAAACTTTTAAAGTTGTTACAATAATATCTTGTAGCATTGATCGATCTGGTGCATTATCTAATAGTGGCATTAGAGTTTTCCAGAAATTATTTAATATTTGATCGTTTCGTTCATTTTGTTGAGCAATTTGTTCAGGAGTCACTAAACATTAAATAATAATGAAGAATTAATGTTGAATATAATTAAGTTTTTTTTCTATTAGTTATAAACTAGTTATCTCTGTGAATATACCAAAATATCATTGTAGGAATGATTAGAGGTTTTATCAAAAAAAAAAAATAATAATAAATCATATCAAATTCATTTTGACATTTGAAAATGAGTTATAAATGGTATCGGTAAATAATAGAATTTCTTATTTGGTATGTGACACAGTTAGTCATTAAATTTATGAAATAAAAAAAAAGCAAAAGAAAATTCTTACGTATTGAATCCTTCTCTGAAAATGATCAATTTTAGAACGAATTTTATTTTTATTCTTAATTATGTTATACATACGTATATCTTTGAGTACATCAGCTTTAAGTGATTGTTCTTGTCGATCTCGTTGAATCATTTCATCAAATAAATGTTTTGTTTCATTTAAACTATCACATGATATATTTGTTATTGTATCAATATGAATTTCAACACTATCAAGAGCATTTAAAAGACCAGTTGAATAAAAACCACTTAAAAATATATATTGATTAGGTCCATCATTTGGTTCATCATCTAAATAAAAAAATGCATTATTTTATATTTTTTCGTTATAAAAATTCAAAGAAATAAATTAATTTATGATCATTTAGAACAGCATAAATATAGCAAAAGAATATTTTCTACAACCTTTTAGTTTACTATGTCTACTTTCTGAATAAAATAATTTAATATTCAAATGTTTCTTTTTTTTTTAGTTGATTAACATACCGATGTATTTTGTTTCATTAATAATTTGATCACGTGTTTTAACACCTGTTGATTTTTCAATATGTGTATCAGTTGCAGATGGTTGTAAACCAGGTGTTTGTTTTTTAGCTGCAGCAGCTGGTTTAGGAGATTTTTTTCCGCCTGGTGATTTTGATTTTTCAGCTTTAGGTGCCATGCTAGTGGCTGGTGTTGATGCCTATAATTATATTTGATTATTTGCAAATTAAAGATATAATTTTATATTACGTACTGCTTTAAGTATTGTTCGATTTTGTACTTCTTTTTTCAAATCAAGTATTCGACATTTGATCAATTTTGCCCATAATTGATCGTCAATCTCTCCACCTGTATCTAATATTGATTTAGCATATTCATATGCAGCAAGAAAAGGTGAATTAGTAAGACTGGCAACAGTTGAATTTGTTGAAACAGATTTAGCGGCAGTTTTGGATGCTTTACCCAATGCTTTAATCTAAGTAATATAGTTTAAATAATAAATATTGCTCAAAGTGTAAGACGAATATATTTTAGGTTTTTTTTTCTACCATACCAAATATTTAACTCAAATTCAAATATTAATTTGAATAGTCAATGAATTCTTCTATCAAATACAATTCATACTATATCTTAAACAATACAAAAATTTTAAATAAAATGAACGGTTGCCTGATTTTCTACGTTTTTCCCTTAAAGAATTATAAGCATCACAAAAAATGAAAGAAAAACAAAATTTATCATATTATTGATAAAAAAGAGTCATTTTCTAGAACCTGAAAACTATTGTGTTTGATTTTTCAAAAATCTTACTTTTGTAGTTCATCTATGAAATCTGTATATGAATTGCATTGGATAGGAGATTTCATTAGCTATTTAAACTATTATTTAGATTGGAATTAAATGCTTGTTATTGTAGAAATAAAATCAAACATATATTCGACTTATATGTTTGGCTAGTACTGTAGAAAAATATGCAAATATTTCATTTTTCTTACGTACAGCTTCAAGAAGATCACGTTTAGAAATAAAATCAAATCGTCGTCGAACACCATTTTGCATAGCTTTTTCAATAAGATCAACATAAATTTGATTAACAGCACAATCAGGTGTAAGAAAACAAACAAATGTTATCCAATTATCCTAGTCAATAGAGTAAAGAAAAATAAATTTCAATTATAATTTTCAAAATTGCTCACTTGATTAGCTGAAACTGAACTTAATAATGATTCCCAAGTTGATCCTCCTGGTTTACCACTTTTTGGACTTTTTGTTCGAGGACTTTTTGTTCCTTTAGGTGGCATTTTTTAGATAATTTCGTATTATTGATCTAAAAGTGACAAATTTATTTCTAATAAATTCTACTTTTTTTTAACTCTGATCGAAACAAAATTCAATTGTCTTTTTTAATTCATTCATATGTGAAAAATTCCATAAACTTTGAATGTCATCATATTTAAACAATATATTAAAATGATGAAAACTTTTATTCTTAATTTTCTTAGTATATTATATACAATCGATGTTTATGTATTCAACAATATTAAGTTTCAAAATATGATATTAATGAATGCTCTGGAAAACTATATTGACAAATATGACATTTTATTTCGTATTAGTTGTTTTTATTTTTGGCCTGTGCATAAACAAAAACAATCAGAAGTCAATTATGAATGATTGATATTCAATAAAATTGTGTTGTTTTACTGTTTGTTTTATATTTCAAAATTTTTACTATTCATTTAATAAAATTCTATTTTTCTTTTTGAAATTTTCATTGTTTTTACATTGAATCTTACAAAAATATAAATCTTTATTTTTATTTTACGCATTTCGATAATCATAAAACAAATAAAAAAACATGTCTTTTCATCATGTTTTATTCACGCTTGAGTGATAAATCGCAATCACGACAAAAGACATATTCTTCATACTTTTGCCCATGCTCTTTTTCGCTTGTCAACAACAGTCCTACTCTTAAGTATTACAACGACACATTTATCTCTTTCTTCCTCTTCTTGCCTTGCTCCTCCGTCTCCTTCTTCTTTACTTTTGCTCTCTATTCATCACAATAGAAAGTGTTGTTTTCCCCTTATGTATACAGACAATCCATAATTGTATGCACAAAAAAAAAATAAAAAAAGAATTGAAGAGAAGAAAAAACAATTAGACCAACAGAATATATCAATAACAAGAAAAAACAAGCAATACAGGTAGCATGTTGACGTCATGTAAACGATCACATGCAATTTTGCACCAATCATCAGTTTCGATACGATTGGGCGATCATCGTATGAAGAGATGAAGACAGAGAGGGAGAGAGAAACGATGCAACGCTTGTCATGCATAGAAATAGTATTGCAAAAAAGAAAATATTTAAAATATTTCCGCACCTGCGCATGTTTCAACGCTCATAACAGTCAATGCAGGTTGAAGGGCAACAACAAGAAGACTTTAACGCTATTACGCACAGTCCCTATTATGGTTGTACTGTACGAGTTCTATCAAAAGCTCATGTTTCCTATGAAGGTATACTCGATGGTATTAGTGCCAATAAAGATCGTATTTATCTTAAAAATGTGCGTGTCAATGCAAGCATAACAGATTCTTTCAATCGAAGTAAATAAGAAAAAAATTTTTTTTTGTTTTTTATTTAACCAAAAATAAATATATATCTTATTTAGATAGCCCTTCGGATGATTCGCATAAAAATATTAGTACTGATACATTAAATGCTGTGATGATTGATCATTTAACAAATGATATTCATATCTACGAACAAGTATGTTTAAATGTACGTGATATTCAAGAATTAAAATTGATCGAATTACCTTCAACGTTTCATGAATCAAAAGCAAAATTACGAGCTATTGATCCATGTCTTGTTGATATTCGTTTATCATCATCTGATGAATATGAAACAAGATCAAATGGTTCAAATCCTGATCATCCACCACGTGCACCTATAGCACGTCAAAGTCGTGGTGAATCCTTTGGAAGTAATGGAGATAGTGCATTAATATCTTCAGATTCAAATGATTCTTCAGCTTCATTTCATTTTCGTCCAAATGAAAAATTTCCTGATGAAAGTAATGATGAATCACTTGATGAACAAATTCATCAACTTAGCCAATTAATAACAACAACTAATATTAATTCAAAACCAGTTACATTACTTGCTAAAAAAGTTTTACCAAAAAAAATTGATCGTCGTAGTGATATACAATCGACTTCATCAATTAATACAAATAATAATGTTCGTCAAATTATTCTTGATAATCATGAGATAATTGATACATCAATACCAATTAATAATCATAATACATTAAAAAAAGAATCGACAGTTAATGACAATCGTATATCATCACCAATACGTGTAACAATTACAAGTCAATTAAATCCAAATGCTACACCATTTTTTACTCAACAACGACATACACCTGGAATACAAAATTCATCATTTACATTTTATGAACGACCTCGTTTTCGACCACGTTTACAACCTGTTACTTCACCAGATCGTTCACAATCATTACCATATGGAATAAATGCAATCGATAATAATAATAATCATCATCATCAACAACAACAACAACAACAACAAAATTATAATCATTCAAATCAAAGATATGTTTCACAAAGACAACTGACTGGTAAAAAAAATTATACACAAACAAATCCACCACGAACAACAAAAACAAGACCTATTCGAACACCACCACCTACGGCAAAATATCGTATTCATGCATCAACATCTATGGATAAACGTTTTTTTTCTCAACCACAGTATAAAGACAAAACACAAAATAATCCTCAATATAGACGTAAGTTTAATTTTATTTTGGAATTATATATATAAATATATATATATATATATATATATATATCATTCTTTTAGAGATTCCAGGTCAAACATCAGTACCAACATCAAGTCCACCAATATTAACACCACCAATACCAAATAGACCATTGATATCACGAAATAATCCTTCACGTCGATCAACAGCTAGTGTGCGTTCAACTTTAAGTTTACCTTATCAATATGGATGTTCAAGTGATCGTAATCAAATGCAAACACCAGTATCATTTCAAGAATCAATAGGTTCACATCGCAATCAACGTACAGTTTCAGGTGCAAGTAGTTGTAGTAGTGTAAGTGTTGATATTGGTCCTCATTCAATTATTCAATTCGATTCATCATCAAATATATTTCCATCATTTGATGAACAATATGATTTTGAAAAAGCTAATGAAGAATTTCGTCGATATCTTGAACTAGAGGAATTAGTTAAACGTCGTTCATCACTTCAAGGATCACCTTCTGATGAAAATACAATACAACAACAACAACAACAACAACAACAACCACAATCATATAAAAAAGATATTTCATTTTTTGATCATATATCATGTACGGCAACAACTGGTACAGCAGTAGGTTATACAGAAATGGATGAAACAGAAAAAAACCTTGAAACATTTGGTAATGATGCTCTTTTAATGGCTTCGAGTCTCAATGATAATGAATGGCAAATATAATATCATAATAAGAGGAAAAAAGAAAGTAATAACAAATAAAACAAAACGAAAAGCAAACTATCTAACTTACTTCTATTTCTAAACGAATATTTGCATTACAATATAATCAACATTACATCAACCATTAATATAAACCAGCAGCTTAGCAACGCTCGCATTCATTATCTTTTTGTTGGTTTGTATATTTTGTTCAATCATCTGAAAATTAAAACCTTCAATACAACACACTTCTTTTTTTTCAAACACTTCAGTTTTCTTTTTTATAAAATTTCTTCACTATATCTCAATAAACACTACGTTCTAATTTAATAATTGATCTCTCCTGACATCTGTTTGTTCGTAAGGTTTAAAGATCTGTTATTTCAATATTGTACAAGTATTGATTTGAATAGTTTCGTTAATAAATATATCATTCGTTAAAGCAAATTCAAAGTATACGGTCTTATTTAATAGTTTTTATTGCAATCAATGAGAAAGATACAATCTGGTGTTTTCGTAGGCACTGAGATTCATTTGATTGCACAGATCATCATTAAAGATAAACATTTTATTATCAATTTTCAAATCTAATCTAAGGTTACCCATTAATTGATAGAACCAAAATATTGATGAAGCAATAGATGTTTTAGTCATTTTGACCATATACCCACTTCAATCGATATACTAAATGAAAACAACAGACTGTATTTTCATTTTTTTTTGCCTTCTGTAATCTATAAACTTAATTTTTCTGTTTCTACAATAGAACCATTATTTCAACGAGTGATTATATTTTAAACGCATTCGGCCGTATTTCTTATGATAGATGTACTCAGTAGAAACCAAATGTACAGAACATCTAATAGTTTCAATATAAATGCTATTTCAAAGTTTGCTCACACATCTAGAGAGTATTTAAGACATTTTCATAGATAAAGTTACATTTTGTTACCAAAATGCTTAACGATGAATTTTTATGCACAAATAACAGTAAAGGTAATTTATTCTATTATTTTCGAGTACTCTACTATTTTTCACCTATTGATCAATTTATCTATTTGATCATAAGAGACGAAAAAAAGAAAGATATGCTTTTTGCTTATCGTCTCTCTATGAATCTTGTTTATCAAATGAATAACTAGTAATTTTGGTTTTTTTTAATATGTTATTAAAAAGCAATTGGTTGTTGTAGTTACACTCTGTTTATAATAAAAAGTCGACAGGTACATTTTGTTTTATAGTTCGATTAAAAACGTTGTTTTGTAGCCACAGATGTCGGATTACATGTACCAAAAAATAAAGATTATAACAAAATACAAGGCCAAGAAAAACCATATACAGCTAGTATACAAATAATGCTCTGAGAAAGAAAAATAAGACATTTCATGAGGAGAAAAAGTAAAGGAATATTAATAATTATCAGTTTGCTGTTTTTCTTGCTCTTCTGATACTGCATGATAAAAATAGTATTATCTTATCTACCCAGCAGTTGAAATCTCATAAGACACAAGTCATAAAATAAAAAGTGTAAAGCATGTCGTCATCTTCTTTACTTTTTCTTAGTATTACACTATTAGTTCTAATACTAACAGTTGAATCAGTTTATTATGCATATTCATATGAAGATGGTAATAATAATGAAGAACATTGTTGTCTGGCACGAGTACATAAGAACTTTTGTGTGGCAAGACCAATTACACGTAGTTTAGTGCAAGTTAATAAACAATGCCATCGATTTGACAGATCTCAACATCATCGATATGGTAGAAAGAATAGAAATGAAAAATATTTAGACAAAATTGTAAGCCGTTTAAATGTGCAAACATCACAAGAAGTTGGTGACAACATACTTATTGAATTAAAAAAACCGTTAGAAAAGAAAATACTTGAAAATGATCTTATATGTTTAACATCAACTAATAAAAATATGAATTTTGACAAATGTTATGTGGAAATAGTTGACGAATTAGATGATGATAATGATAATGACGATGATGATGATCATCATATGTCACATGAAACCCATAGTAAAAGTCCAATTTTCTTTTATGTCACTCGAATAGAATAAATTTTTGTTTTTTTTTTTATTTATTCTAGGACGACGAGGACATGGTCACCATCGCTGGCAACATCGTCATCATCATGATTATAAAAAACGTGCTGCTGATAAAGATGATCAAGAAGAAGATAATGATGTTAAGGATAATAAAAATAGTAAAGAAAATGAAGCTAAAAAGGAAACCACTCGAATTGAATTAGATAAACCGATTCATATTCGTGAAGGTCATGGTTTTTCAATTCGTCAAACATATAAAATTAATCCTAGTATTATTCGACCAACAAATCGTGAACAACGTCAATGTTGGTCATGGTATCGTAAACAAACACGAAAAATACGTCATAATTCATCAAAATATCAAAAATCTTGTACTAATTTACATGATCATCGTGAAAAATGTATTAATCAACTTGTTTATAATACATTTAATACAAATGAAACAAATAGTGATGAACAACAACAAAATACAAAAAATTTTTTTCCTATTGGATCAAAATTGTATTGTGAAAATCAAGCTGGTTATAATAGATTAATTGGTTATTTTCGTCGTACTGAAGTATGTTTTCATGCAGATGATCAAATTAATATTGAACATAAATTTATGGATATAACTGGTTTATCTGATTTACGAAAAAATAAAGAAACACTTGAATTTATAGCACAAAGTAAAAAATTAACAGCTGAATTTGAAGATGATTGTCATGATACAACAACATTAGTTGAAATAGCTGAATTAGAAAAAACAAAGATCAAAAAATGATCTTACGAAATAAACTAACAATGAAATATAAACATTGAATATTCTTTTTATTTTTTTGCATCTTTTTTTTGTTCGAATTTTTCAATTTTTAGTTAAAATAAAAGGGAAAAAAAGAAATGTAGGTGGTTGGAATATTAATTATATAATAATAGTACATTTGACATGTATATTCGTGAAAAACAAAAAAAAAAACATTTGAACAGAAATAAAAATACGAAGTTCATGGTCAGAAAAACATTTATTTATTTATTTTTTGTATTCTCACAGGATTATATTAGAGGCGACAGCAAGAATAAAAATGAGAATCGATGACAACAATGATATTCGAATTGATGATGGAGCTAAAATATAAAAAGAAAAAGAAAACTATTAAGGCTTCAGTAAGAGAATAACATCATTATGTATTTTCTATTACACATGTCACTAGATCCTGTTGGGTTAATTCTGGACCGAACGGGCTTGACATCTCACAATTAGGCCTGATTATTATTGTTGAGAATCTTTGAATATAAAAATTCTTTTCGTTTTCTTTACAGGACGCTATCAAATGATTCAAATGAATGGCTCTTCTTAGGTTCTATAAAACTTTTTATATAAATTAGTCTAATTAAGACCTATGCTTGTGTAAAACTTTTGATTGAAAATCGAAATTATTAATTTTACTCACATATTAGAGTCTTACAGAAAACATTCACTAAAAACTGAATTTCTTAGATAACTAGTAACTTGCATCCATATCATATTAGAATTGTCGCAGTCTAGTGATCTTCTAATGAGATCAAAAGAATCATGGATCTACTAAAAAGAATTTTTTTTATTATATAATCGCAGTAGACATTATCCACCATCTTAAAGAAAAACGCAAACATATAAAACATCAGAATTCTAACCGATTTGGTCCGGTTGGTTGCCTAGGTTATTCTGAAACAAAAAAATTGAAGTAAAATCTTCAGCAGAAAATTATGTACTTGACAGTCGACACGCTCAATTTAAATCTTTAATTATTTTTTCACATAAGGTTTATAGAAAAATTTAAATGCTTCTATTCAAACGACGGTTCAAGTCTTAATAAGATATGTAATAGAACATCAATGAAATCAATTGATAAGTTTGACTCAAGTCACACAGTTCTAATTATTCTTTTTACAAAATAAAAAACAATATAGATGAATAAAAATTAATGAAACTGATAGTATCTGGAAAAAATATTGTCTGACTATTTTGATAAGAGCACTTAAACTTGCTTTCTCAATATATTTTGTCAGAAAAAAAAAAAAGAAATCTGTAAAAAGCCAACAGTGCTTTTTTTTCTCATCGGTAAAAACTCACTAGTTTGACCAGACTCAGATTAAAACTCTGTAATACATGTAAAACATTAATAAACATAAACACAACAATTGAATGTCAAATTTTTAAAAGAAAGTCGTTAACTCACCATGACAAGGTACTTGATCAGCTGGTGCACATCGTCCAATATTTCTATTAAAACGTTGTCCATATGGACAACGACTATGATTGGCTACACGATTATCAAGACATTGTATATATGATTGACAATTTGGTTTTGTACGATCAAGATAAAATCCATCACTATGACCAGAACATGATGGAACAAAATCACATAAAGTTTTACCAACATCATAATTAGATAAATAATGACCTAATATAAACAAAATAAAATAAAATAAAATAAAATATTTATATCAATATAAAATAAATTCTTCTTACATTTACTTAAACATTGTCGACGTCCATCACATTTAACTTTTTTATATGGTAAACATGTACGAGTTTGGATATCAAATAAATTCGGATGTGTACATGTTTGAGGTATTAATTTACCTGATATACATTCATAAAAATGACAACAACTTGTTATATCTACAAATCGTGCACCTTCATTCTTTGGTGTACATTTATTTTTACCTATAGAAATCAATTATTTCGAATATCAATATATATATATATCTATATACATAAAAAATATTTTATTACATTTAACATTTTGTGCATGATCACAACTTTGTTTTTCTGCATTATAATAGAGTTGAGCTGGACAATAAGATAAAAGATCAGTACCATGATAACAATCATGATAAATTGAACAATCATATGGATCAGGTACACGCCATGATTGTGTTGAAGGACATTCAACTGTTGTTTTATATACATTTGATGAAGGAAGTGAAGGTGGTGCATCTGTTAGAATATATGATGCTGGATAAGTTGTACCACGTGGTATCCATGGAGCACCAGCACCTGCTCCGATCGAAGGTTCTGGACTTAAATTCTTCACCGGACCTATCAAAAATATATTCTCGATTATGATATAATATAAATTATAATAATCAAATTTACAATCGGATTGTACTGGCCAAACACACATTCGTTCACTTTGAGACCAAAATAAATTTTTTGTGCATATTTTAGCTTGTGATACACCTATGATGATTATTAAATTTAAAAAAACAAAGAACGAATTATTTTTATCAAATTTTAAATAAACAAATGGAATCATCTTTTCTTTCTCTCATTTACTAATTGCACAATGACTATGTAGTAAATGTAGGACAATACATTAAAATCGACTAGACCTTTCCTGTTTCTTCTTATTGCTTTCTTTTAGTAAATAAATAACATGAAGCTTTTCTCTTCTTAGTTTAGGATGAATCAAGATTAATTGTTCGAATGTAGACAAGACAAGATGTGCATTTGATCTATTGACTCGATGTCCACACGTCTCTTGTTCGAAGAAAAAAAAAAGAAGACGAAGACGAAGACGAAGAAAACGACAGATGAGATGTCACGTTTCTTACCGTTTGCACAATAAGCATATCGTTTGCAATCAGTCGGATGAGCTACATAGTCGTTATCAATTGATCGACATAAATATTCGAATATTGAATCAGTTATTAATGGATAGTTTGACGGATATTTTCCTCGATTAACACTATCACCGGCAGATGATGAAGGGATTGGATAATCAAAATCTTTCAAAAAAAAAAAGAATGAAAGCATGAAATCAAAATACAAACAAAAAAAAAGATAATAATAATTAAAATCTTACCAGGAGGATAAAGAACATGTGTTGGCATAGTTGGTGGAAGAGCATCTTCGTATGATGTTTGACTACAATTAACCTAAAAAAAAAGATAGAATTTCTTCTTTTTTTTTTTGTTGTGAAAACTAAAATAGAAAAGGTTTTGTGCTTTATTTCTTTGTCATTTACATTCATTGCCCAATCACATTCGTTTTTTATTGGATTGAATAAAAGTTCTTCTTTACAAGCTTTTACTGAATGTGTGGAACCAACACAAATATGATAAATCCAACAATCTTTTTTATCCGGAAAAAAACCATCTTTAACACATTTAAACGTTTCGGATCTTATTAATTGAATAATAACTAAAACTATTTTAATATATGTATATATATATATAAATATGTTTTTTTGATTACGAAAAACACTTTAATTACTTACAAATTATTGTAAAGTAAAATAAACGTCGATCTGACTGATTAAGCATGATGATAATCTAACACTCATTGTGTTCATTATTAAAATAACATTTTTAGTGTTCGTTTTGAACATTTATTTGAATCATTTTTTTTTCCAATGTTACATTAACATAGCCTAGAAGAAAGAATGTTGAGACAAATTATCGTGTTGTAGAGGTTGGTCAAAAAAGAAAAAAAGAGCGTCAAACGTATTTGTTCTCTCTTTCTCTCTATGTTTGTCGTATGAACAAACAAACGAACGAAACGACGAGAAAAAGAAAAAGTTATTTAAATAAATGTTAATACCTGCACCAACACCGATCAGGAAGTAGAAAGAAGAAGAGCGATGACCTAAATTGTACGAGAAGAACAAAAAAAGAAACTTATCAGTGAACCTCGAAAAACGAAAAAAAAGAAAAAAATAAAGAAAAATTCATGATGAACTCAATTTTGTTCTTGAAACTAATCTTTTGTTTCTTGTACTATTGAGAAAAAAAAAACTAACGAAAAATATTTATCATGAAGGATATACATTGTGTTTAAGCCTTGTTAATTAATAGAGAAACAAGAAAGTATCTTATATGAAGATTTTTCATACTCAACATTCGACAAAAGATAGCGTTAAAAGAAGGACGACAAGTGCGTGATTAGTCAAAGGTCGATTACGTAAATCTTTTTTTTTTTATTCTTTTAACAAAAAAAAAATTACTTACGTGTGTATGTATGTATGTCCTCTTTATGTCATCTCAAACACATTCTTTAGTTATTGTAATGAGAATGAGAATGTCTTTGTATAACAAAGTACGGACCAATTTTTTTTCTTTATTCGTAAAGCATCACGCCCAAGGATTAAGTATTGTGGTCAAAATGTGAACGTAATTAATCAATGTAAATTTGATCATTGTTTTTTATTGTATCAAACTTGCAACTATTAAATAATATCAGCAAAACGAAAATCTATTATTTATTTTTTGATTATAGAAAAGCAATGTATAGGTTTATTTTGAACTAATAAGAAACTAGAACAGTCATGCATTAATGATGAATGATGGGATTTAATCGATAAAGATTATACACACCTATATATTAAGAATTTTAATCCAAACGAATATATTGGTCATTTTCTTTTTAATCATTCACATAGGTTTGTTATCGATATTATAACAAAAATCAATAGATAAAATGATCAGCACTTCAAACAAAAATAGAAAATGTTAGGATATTTAATGATTTTCATAAGTTTAAAAAGAAAAGGAAAATTCAAGGATTTTCCTCATGTCAATTTTGTAAGAGATTTAATGATACTTTTTTTTTATCTTATGTTCAATACTAAATGAAACTATACAAGGTGAAGTTGATTTATCATTGCATCATCGTTTTCATCATCATCATCATGAATCTTCTTCTTTACGTATAGAAGAAACTAAATTGTTTTTATGCAAATGATTTTATTGCTTTTGTATTATCTTCGAACTTACATAACCTTCGTAACATTCTTAGGATTTTCTTTTTTTCATTGAAATTATCGATTGTTATTACTCAATAGGAAGTTTGTCTTATTCTTCTTTGTTGTAGATCGAAAAAAAAAAAGAAGTCAACTTCTCCGATAAGAAAAATAGACTTCATAAGATTTGTTTCTAATGTTCAGTAGAGTTATAAAAATCAATATTCGTTCTGAATACGTTTATGACAAAAAGAAAAAGAAAAAACGCAAAATATAACATACAGAAAAAAAAAGATAGAACATATGTTCGTAAATATAATGCAACTAAAGACAAGACTGAACTGTACAAGATAATCAAATAAATCCGAATCGAAAAATGTTTATAGTTTTCAAAATGAACTGTTACTATCACTACTAAATACACTTAATTTTTCCATTGTATCAATAAGTTGACGTTGTATTGATTTGTAATTAGAATTCGATGATGATATTTGTTCAAGATGATGTTCCAATTGGTTTCTAAGAAAGATAAATTAATATAGAATTTATTTACAATAAAATAATTCATAGAAAATTTATACTAAAATAAGTGTTATACATACTTATGAGATTTGAGTAAAGCAATTTGTGATTGTTTACTTTCTTCAATGAATTTCTTTTTTTCAATTAATGAATGATTCTAAAAATAGAAATTTTATTTAAAATTTTATTTAAAAATAAAATCTTTACTTGTTGTGGTATTTCCCAAAAATCTTGATCATCTTTCATTTCAGCTTCACGAGCTTCATCAAGTCGTTCAAATATAAATTCATTATTACAATGATGATTTAACAATAATTTTCGAACACAATCAATACTATATAAAGCAATTTTTATTTCATGTCCATGAAAATTTTTTTTTCTATGATCATTCATTAATGTCATATATTTTTCTAAATTAGCACAAAGTACAGCATTAGTTAATGGTGTTATAATAACAGGTGAAAATTTATAAAGTAATGCCTAATGAGAAAAAATTATATTTCAATAGAAAAAAAAAAAAAAAGAACAAAAGTAAAAAATTATTTCAACATACAAATCGTTCAATAGTATTTTCAGATAATGATGGATCAAATAGAGTACTAATAGAAAACCATGGCATCATTATCCAATGATTATATCGAGCAAAAATTAATTTTTTCGATGATGATAATGGTATATCAATTATACGTATACATGGTAAACGACAATTTGATTGATATTGTTGTTGTTCTTCATATTTTTTTCGTTGTTCTTCTTTTTGTTTTAATTGATTTGCTTTTATTTCTTCAGCTAAAAGTCTTTAATATAAAAAAATTGAATAAAAAAATAAAATCTAGTTTCTCTTTTTTTTTTTTACTTACTCCCCCTGAAGATTAAATTCGTAAATAATGGCTAATAATGGTTCATGAGTTATCGGATCTAATTCTTCTGGCTACAAAAACAAAAAAAAAAAACGAAATTTGTATATTTTTTCTTTATCCAAAAGAAATAAATTTACTTTAAGTATTTTACAATCATCAATAGGTATAGCAATTTTATGATAAAGTAAAAAATCATTAACACATACAAATGTATCATGTGTTGTAACGAATAAATTTACAAAATATGAACCATTTGATGAACGATCAAGTACTTCAACTTCTGTTGGAACATTATCAATGACATTTCGAAACGTTTTGATGGCATCTGTAATGCTGGGTCAAGATATAATCAATTAATGATCATATATAGAATATATTTAACAAAACAAACAAACAAACAAACAAATCATGTTGTTTTTTTTGTTCTCTTTCTATCCAAACTTACATTCATTCCATAAGCCATTTTTTTCTGGTTTAGCTGGTGCTATACCAGCTAATCGACATGGTACACTACGAACACATTCTTGACGAAATGGTACAAGTATATGACGTAGATTTGAACGTGGTACACATTCTTGCCATGTACCTAAATCAACAAGAAGTAAACTACATTGATCTGTTTCAGGATGATATTCAAGTAATTGTGCACGATTCCAAACATCAGTTTCAGTTTCATCTCGTGTTACACAACATAAATTAATACGTAAAGCTGCTTTTGATATTACAAGACGTTGAGCATCAAAACAACGATTATAAAATTCACTAAAATAAATAAACAAAAAAATTTTATATATACATAGGATAAAATATGATTATTCATTGGTATTGTTTTTTTTCTTTGAATAGAAAAGATGAAATATGAATACATACTTCATTTTTGAAAAAAAATTATCACTATATGTAAGATCTTCGATTGTTTGTAAGAAGAAACTATGTGGATGTCTTGCTGATACAACAATAACATTGTTACAAAATCGACCTAAATGTGATTCATATGTAAAACCATTAGAAAAATCATCGACTATAAAATAAAATAAAAAAAAAACAAAATTCGTTATGAAGTATTTCATATAAATTGAAAATAATCGTTTTACTAGGAATGAAATCATCATTGTAGATAATTGGAGTTTTTAATACTGATCTGATTTCCTTCTAAATAAAAGAATGTATAATATAATAATAAAGAGAAATCAAAAATTATTTTATTACTCTTTGTTCATTTGTTGATATATTATCATGAATAGGATCGATAATGGAAACATGGGTCTCTTTAACATGATAAGATAAGATTGAAGGTTGACGATTGAATTGTGAATCTGTAGAGAACATAAAATTAATTGAATTGAACAAAAAAAAACTAAATACTGACTATTAGAAACTGGAGTGCCGAAATTAGCATTTGGTTGTGATGTACTTGACGAAAAGCGGTGTGCCATTTATTAAATATAATCTGAAAACTATTCGAATAAATTATTAAAAAAACGTTTGTTTCAATATTTATATAGAATACAAAAGTGAATTTCTAGAATTTGTTTTTTGCGCATGAAATAAGACTAGAATAGATAATTTTATAAGTGTACAATTCCAGTTTTATTCTCACTGATGTGAAGTCGTATCAGTGCACAGTTGATTGAATATCCGAATAGATTGTTATCCAGTCAGGTTGGAACTGATGTATGTCTATGTAACAATGTTGAAATAAAAATAAAGTTTTTTCTATGTTTTTATAAAATCAGTTTTTCTTAAATCTATGAAGAAAAACATTTTTCATCGTTATTTTTTTATCTACAAGAAAAAAAAAACGATTAATAGTTTTAACAATAAATATATAAAGCGAACGAGACTATCTTTTTTTTAAAATTTTATTTACTTTGTTTTATTTAATACACATGAAAGATTAGGTAATTAACATAATAACTTAATAAAAAGAAAAAAGAAAGAAAGAATATAGACAGCAATCTAATGTAAGAAATAAATAATTATTTTGATTCTTTCGAATAAATATCAACATTGTTTAACATAAATAATATATTTATACTTGATCACTAGTATCAATTAATTTGACTGGCCGTTGTGCGCGTCGACATGGATAACGACTTTGTTTTTTTGTTCGTGCTCTTATTGTTTGTGATTCACAGCTTGTATCTTGAGAATCGGTTACTAAAATAGAAAAAATATATATATAATTAAGAATATTGTTGAATCATAATTAACATACTAGATGTATTACTATCCGATGTTGCACTAGCTGATGGTGGAATTAATAATTGTGCTGAATTTTTTTCAATTAATATGTCTTGATCATTTGATGGACTAGCTTCTGTAAGAGTCATTGTCGGTAGATGATTTTTACCTAATGAAATAAGTATAAGAAAAGAACAGAAATTAGGAAGTTTGATAAACTTACTTGTTTTCTTTGATTTTAATGTTTTTCTTTTTAAGATTAAAGACGGATCATTGATGTCATTCTGAAATACAGAATATACAGTGTTTGGAAAAACCATCGAGATAGAAGACAATGCGAACAGTTCTCGAACACTTCTAGCAGTTTTCGTGAATATTCTATAATGTCGTTCGATTTTTCTTTAAATTTTATTCAACATAGTTCAAATCAAATACCTATGTCTATAAACATTAGTTAATGTAGTTCATGCTCCTAGTGAAAGTATAGCGACAGAGAATATTCTGTCTGCTTGAAATGTTTTGTGAAATTCGATCTAAAAGGAGTATTGAAGTAGATAAGTAAAAATGTGGGTCTCGGCTACAGATGTGACAAATACATTAGAAATATGTGGAGAAATGTGTACCAAAATATATAGAATAAAACGATCTGCTTGTGATTAGCAAGAGCAACTACATCATAGAAATTCTATTTAATGTTTTATTTTTCAAAAACTTAAAAACATCAGAATTGTCAATTTCATTACATTCTGAGTATTTTGAGCAGCTAGCGAAAAATAAATCTATGCGAAATAAAACTGTAAAGAAAGTCGATCGAATAAAACAATAGGAAGCTCACGTTTATGGCTTGAAATGATCAAGAGTTACTCATATTCTTTTTATCGACAGACTTTTAGAACATCGTATATTTATTTTTAGACAAATACCTCTTTATTTTTTGATAATTTTGTCATTATTTTATTTCGTTTATCACTACAATTACTCGTTGTACTTGCTGATGATATTGTTCGATCTCGAGTCTTTCGTTTTGATCGTTTAACTTCCAATTGTTCATCCTAAATATTAGTTAAGAAAGAAAAAAAAAATTCCTAAATGAATAAAATAATCTCTTACAATATCATGATTGATTGTACGTTTTTTTGGCCATTCATTTTCATTCGTATCTTTTGTTGGTATTAAAGACATATCATTATTATTTGCTTTATGCATAGCAAGCATTTCAATTTGTAATGAATCATATCGAATATGAATTGATTTTAATTCTTGTTTTAATTGACTTAAATCTTGTTGAATTTTTTTATTTAAATTTTGTTCAATTTTTATTTTATCTTCATAATAACGTACTTTTCTTTCGGCTTCTTGTTTTCGATATTCTTCTAAGACAAGATCACGTTTTATACGTTCAATTTCATCAATTAATGATTGAATTCGTTCATTATATTCATCTTCATGTTGATGATTTTCTTCCATTTTTTTACTATATTCAATAGTAATACGTTGAAATTTTTGTTCGATTAATTGTAATTGTACACGTAAATATTCATTATCACGAATAAGACCATCACGATCATGAAGTTTTTCTTCAAGACTTTTTATATTTTCATCTTTTGTACGTATTTCATTACGTAAAGAATCGAGTAATTGAGACATCTTGATAAAAGACAAAAAAGAAAAAACAAGAATGCATAGTATGAACGACTAAATATTATGTATAAAAATTTCAAATCATTTTGAATATTAAAATCGATTAAATTTTGCTTTCAAATACGTATGAAATACTAACAATTGATACAAGTGTATTATATATTGCTAACTCTTGATATATGAACTATTGTTAATATGATAAACAGAGAAACTGTCGAATATGTGGTACATAGTATTTTAAACAATGTACGAAGATTAAATTTCAGAAGAATTTCTACCGTTATACGATGAAATTTTGATTTAGGAAAAAATATTTTATTGATGTCTTACCGAATGATTTTCTTCAGTTAATGTATTAATTTGTTCACGTTGACTAAGTAAACATTGTATACTATCGATACGTTCTTGACTAAAAATTATTTTCAAGTTAAAAGCAATATAAAATATAATGTCATTTACTGTCTTTCAATTAAGAATTGACGTCGATTAAATGCTTGTTTTTCAAGAACATCCAATGCTTTCTTCGTACAATACTTCCAATAATGCACCTTCAAAAATCAAAACTCTCAATTTTTTTTTATTTTTTATTTTACAAAGAAACCTACTGATGTTTCATCCATTGATACAGCTACTGGATTATTATCTATTTTGGAAGGTGAAATGTTTGATGAACGAAGAGCATTTTCTTGAATAGTATTTTGTTTTGTTAATGGTATATGATCTGAATAAGTAGAAAAAAAACAATCATAGGTTTCACATTTTATTACTAAGGCTTAACGAATATAAAATGAATATTACCCGTCTTTGGAACATCATTTGTTGTATTTTCTTCATTGTTAATATCATTTTGTTTATTTTTACGACGTAATCGTTTTGGTATTTTATTCTTTAATTTACGTTTACTATTTGATTCATTGTTACGTAAAGATTCTGCTGGCATAATTGTCGTCTAGAAAGTCTTAATAAAATTTGATAGAAAAAAGTTTTTTTTTTTTTTTTTTTGGTAAGATCTTTACTTTTGTGCGAGCACACTGAATGAAATAGAAATTGTTTGTTTGAGCGACAAGTCGAACAGATAAATTATTATATCACACTAGAGAATTGTACGTTCACGACCAATAAAAAATGTTCGACAAATACCCATGTCAGTGCGTACAGATTATCTCGAACGAACATAGATACAGATAAGTGCATCAATGATGCACTTTAACTCGTGCTCAATTGGCTCATTGTATTGCGTACTAGTAATATGAACCAATCATTTAATGGCGGTAATTACTATAGTGTATATTAAAAATAATTTGTTTGCCGCAATTAAATAATAAAAAAGGATACTGAGAAGATAATACAAGTAGAAACAAGTGTTTTGAAAAGAAAAATAAACAAATCACAGTACTAACTTTAAGAAAAATTATTCATGATGTGGCACAGTTCAATAGAAAAATGGGGACACTGAAGGAATTGCAACGTATTCGTATCTCAAGACTTAGAACCATATTTGAGTCGTTCCTCCTACAGCACCATGTTTATATAATTGTGTTCTGTTTTACACGTCTCAAAGATACTTGTTCGTCGATGGTCTATACATTCTACTGACATACCAAAGTGATTCGACGTCGCAAACGGTTGCCCATGGCTCATGTTATCGTTTCGCATAGTTTTGTGTTTTATGTTTGTGCTTTGCTTTAATTGCTTTTCATTCTTCGTAAAGTTACTTGTAAGCAGTACTGTCTCCTTTTAGGTTCTATCATGAGTAGTGAGTTAAATAAATCGTATCGATTTCAGTTCAACAGAAAGAAAAAAAAATACTTTGTTAATGTCAGAAGCTGTTTCATATTCTTGATGAATAGAAGAATTATTTCAATTAGTATTAAACTTGATAGACATATCATGATCAGGTCTTGTTGATACGATTCATAGTCAATTGTTTATTGCGATGCAAAGCACATCTGTTCTGTAGTCGATCGCGTATGCATTCAATCTCCATACTTTGTGTAGTTTTTGCTGTAATAAAATCTTTACTGTGTGTCGCTAGAAATTCGTTCGAATTATGTCAGGCAGATTCATGTCTCGACATAATACAAATATTTTTGAATCTTTAGTCACTTTCGGAAAATAGGGATTTTGACGAATTGGTCTCCATCTTTCATCTGAGATAATTAGCATTGGTGAACTCATCTCCAGTCAGCTGTTGTAACTAGGAGAAATAACGAAAACCTACGATAGGACAAATTCGACTACAGATGAAATCGTTTATCGTTCGTATGTTAATGAAAATTTCATTACCCAAAAATCGAGACTGTTTCGCACTGCATTTATGTAATCTTGTGCAAGTTTTCTTCCTTTTTATTGCTTATTAGACATAAACATCAAAAGTTATCACCTTCTTGGAGTTATATATCTTTGCTATGTGAAGAATGACGGGATTAAAACAACTCATTGAAGTCTCAGCAACAGAGTGGATATGTATTAAATGAAACTTAATATAGAACATTGTTGTAAATTTCATCCTCTATCTACAACGACGTGACGAGGAGAAATTTGTTTCATATTTAGTGAGATCTACATTCAACTCTGTATTAATTCCAAATATAACAATTCCCTACAGAAAAAAGATCTCCTACAAATTCACCTGTTAAAAATAACTTTTAATGCCTTCGATGCGTGACTAAGACAGTACAAGAACGTCTATCTATGATTTTAGTATATATTGGAGACAAGTAAAACAATTTTCCAATATGAAAATTCTATTCAAATATAATTTCTAATGCAGTTTGTTGTGCTCGTGCTAATGATATATTGATTAATAAATTTAGCTAAAGCTTTTTAGGAGTTACATATAGCGCAAGTTGTTGTATTGAATTATGTATCATAATGACAATTTCAAAATAGGATAGACTCACCAGAAATTACAAACATAAGTGGTTGGATATTTTTGGAAGAACAAAAAAATCGGCACGCTGCAAATGTACCGTCAATAAAAGCTAAACAGATTAATGGATTGTTTTGAAAATTTTTACTAGCATACTAGAGACTGTAGACCATAATTTGACGAAAACCAGATGATTCTAAGATAAAATTATCTACTAGTTGAATAATTTTGATACTATGGTATACACTAATAGTCAAAACAGTGCCCTATAATTCTATAATATATCGCTATTCTTCAGTTGATATGATAATAGAAGAAATTCAATCAAAACTGTTCACTTTCGATCTTGTTAGACACGGAAAATTTTTTCTTCTACAATATATTCCATACTGTATTATGTATTCAAGTGAAACTTATTCATGATAAAAAATATTTTGTTTTCGCTGGTTACATGCCACCTCGAAGAATAGTTCTGCGATTATATGAATAGTTATGTGAAGGATGAGAAGACGTTGAAGATGAAGAACGACCTATTGGGTTTGTAATTCAGTCTATACTCTTCGTCACGATATATAGCTAGTCGTAATGTTTTTTAAAATACGATGATCGGAGATTATTCATTGGATGACGCGATGAGATTCAGACTAGTCTGTGCCTGAAATTCATTATTCAGGCAATGAAGCTGTTTGGTCTTTTCACATGTTGTTGGATGACAGATACACCGGATCGTGCTCTCGATCCTCACACAGCTATTCAAATTATTTTTCCACTGTTCTAAGAGTTGGAGTATGACTGCCAAAATTAAAATATAGTGTAGTATGGACTTACATGCAGAAGTGAAAGTTTTTCTTATGCAATAAAAACAGCGATGAAAAGCTATCGTTGAAACTCTAATATTATCATAGCAAACAACGAACGGTGAAATATTATAGAATCATAGAGCATTGTTTGGACTACCAGTATATATTTAGAGAGAAAAATTTCCTGAGTCTTCTATAATGTAGTATAATGTAAATGCCATTACTTTGGTCCATTCGAAATATATTATCTAATTCATTCATATCAAAAAAAAAAAATAAACAGCACCAATACGATGTTGTTTATCCTTTTAGTTCTCATCAATCAACGATTAGTAAATCTTTTCTATCTGAGCTATATATATCGAAAATTATTTCTACAATTGAAAGAATGATCTATCGTCAATATACAGTTTCATATTTATTAAAACGTCAACTTTCACAAGCAATAACAAATCCTAATCCATCATTATATATTAATCGACAACAATATTGATTTGAATCAATTCCATATCCATATTAAAAAGAATTTATTTTTTGCGACCATCTATTTCTTTTTATTATGCTCAAAATTCATTTATGGATCAGGTGACAAATAAAGCAAAAATGTTTATCGTTCCATTCTATCGATTCTTGTACAAAATTTTCCACCAATAATAATAAGTTCACTGAATACACTCAATCAATCAACATTACCAAATGTTTAAGAACTTTTAATTTAGCATAGCCTATTATTGGACATGATCATTATGATATGGTCGAAATACTTAAACTTGATGTGCGACATTTAAAAACAATTGATTCCAGCATGGTTTAATGTATTCGATTAATATTGTATAGATTATTTTAGTTATCATCAAGTATTTACATAACAAAAATTTATGATACATGTTAATAATGAACAAATGACAAATCTACAACCATTGGATATGACATCTGAGCAATTACTGAGATTGGAAAAGTTGTATTCTTTGAAGGGAATGCTTTTTGTACAAACTTTTAAGTAATTATGCAAGATAAATTAACAAACTTCATATATTTCTTTATTCAATAGGCTAGAAGAAATTAAAGAGTATTATGATATATGCTGTTTCTTTCGTTGACAGTTTTACTATTATTTTATAATTGTTTGTGTAAAAAAACAACTTTCTAGTTACAATAGATGACTTTATACTTTTGTACCACTCACACTACACGTTCCGAAGAAAAAAAAACAGTGAATGTAAGTTTTAAGTCACGGTTTTGCAAGCCTTCCACATCATCATAGCAAGGGAATGAATGGGTGAGAATAACTCGGGTACATTTCTATAGCAAACAAGAACAATGGGCGTCAGAATTCTTTTCTAGAGTTCCTTATCAACAGAAAAGGCGCTGAACTATAATTCGCTAAAGATTTCTCAGGTAATACATCTTGTACTAGTATAATAAGGATAAATAAACATATGTGAGTTCTACATTTTAGCTCCAAAGGAGCTGCACTGACAAGTTTTTTTATTATTTAAAAGAGTATGCCAAGATGTAGTGTCAGACAGAGATTTTTAAATTTTTTCCTTTTATACGGAAAAAACGGATGACAAGTTCAATATCTTGAGAAACTCAAAAAGAAATTTATCTATTTATTGGTAGAAGCGCCTTCATATAATAATAAAAAGGTTAATTTTCAAAACCAGCAGTGCAGCTTTTCGTCTTTTTATTGCAACTCTATATCGTGAACCATCTCGTCCTTCTTAACTTTTTTCTCCTTCTTTCATTCTCGATCTCTTTTTTTTATCTTTTTTGATTGCGTACGTAAGCGTGTGCTTTTGATTTTAATGATGCGATTATATGATATGAAAAAGTAGAACAAAGTGTAATTCTACCTGTACGAATATTTCTTCTATCAAAAATCGTCTTAATTTCCAAGGAAAGTTTTATTATATTGTTCTTCGTCATCTCGAATAATCTGCTCATTGTTTTCTTCAATCTGGTCGGTTCTTTTGTTTTTTCATTTTGTTACAGATTGTTTAGAGCTATAGATAAGATTTTTTCTTTTTTCTTTCAGTAGCAATTACATATGTATCCTCTCTGCAGTTGTTGTCTAGTTTAGAATTCTTTAGAAGACAATGAAAAAAAACTTGATGCCATTAATAAGGTTTTTGAATATCATCTGCTCTCACACTATTCAAAATTATTTCTTTATTAGAATAAATGTTTTAACAATAAATCTTCGACATGAATGGTTAGTAGAAGGAATAACGATAATGTTAGTCATTAAAAAGATCCAGTATGAGTTCATACAATATGCTGGTAGTTGAGAATCTTGATCGTAAAAAAAGACACGAAGTTGTCGTTTGAAAAATCTTACATCGACAGGACATACCTATTCATTTATTCTTTTATTTCAGAGTGGCATGCTAATGGCTGCCATGGATTCATTAATAAAAGATATCTATGTCTAACAAAATTTTCACTTGTGTGATGGCTTGGTTCATGAATACTGGGGTATTATTATTCTTTTTCTGCCCCATATTCAGTTGCACAATGGTTTTCAAAAACACTTAAATATAGAAATAGATGCAAGCGATATGATTTTTGCTTCATCATTCTACTCAGTGCCGTTTTTTTTCTACATTTGAAACGTCTCCGTAATATGTTCAGAGATTTAGAACATTTGTCGTCTATTCTGTATCTCATTGAGCTCATATTAACTTTTCAAAATGATATAGCACTCTTACGAAGTAGCGGACATAATGAACAATAAACGTTTGAAATTTGAACATTTGCTGAACGATTCTTGGATATGAGTGCTTTATTCATGCATGATATTGTGTATGAAAGAAAAAGCGTAATATGGCGATCACTAATTATAATCGAATTTCAGCCTGAAAAATAACATCGTTGTTAATTCTCTCATTGTCATGTATGGCTTTTTTGACAGTGGGTAATGCAAATATACTGATATATCGTTCCACCTGTATGTATGCCAATAACTCATCATTTAGTGCATATCTTTTCTTAAACACACTTTCACACCTACCATTCTTATCTCAAATAAATTTCACAATTAGTTGTCACAATGATATCGTCAAGTCAAAAGAATAAGCTTTTACTCTTTTTTCTTCGCTCGTGCTTCAGTTGTTTTGGCGATAATAAATGTCACGTGTTGGTTTTTTTAAATATTGCTTCATGTACATCATCCGTAGATAGAACGGAGGAAAAAGCATACTTTTTTCGAGCACTTTTTTCTTGCGCTCTTGTAAGGCTTTATGAATTATTACGAACATCGCTATAGAGTGAAAAAAAGCACGACGTATTAAATATTTTCTGTTTGTCCTTCGCTCAATATAGTCTTTTGGCTGACTATTAACATCTGCAAGTCATATATGAAGTAGATTTCTTAGTGAACCGATTCTTACGCGATCATTGTCAATCAAGTATGTTTATAGTTTCCGTTTATTTGTTGGCGATTCTTTATAAAAATGAATAATTTCACCTGAGACAGTAGACAAGATGTTGTGTTCACTAAAAACACTTCAAAGCATTGTAGAGTCCGAAATAGGTTGATTTATAAATCGATATAAATAAATCGATTTATAAAGTGTAAATTTTTGTATGAAAAATTTAAAACATTTATAAACATTTTAGGTATTTATAAATCCAGCCTATTTATAAATCAATTTTTGATTTATAAACTCCGAATCGATTTATCTGGTGAGTCGACTTCTATACTCGCATGGACAGCATAAAAATACAACTGGTATCCTAACTAAATTTACAGCGGGGAATTCCCGCAAAAGTTTTGCCACTAATACTTTTCAATCTTAGCGTTAGATTCTGAACCTCTGATAGGCAATTTATAAACACTTGAATCATTTATAAATCTGAAATTGATTTATAAATTCATTGGATTAATCAGTATTTATAAATCGGATGGGTTTATAAATATTTATAACTATTAATAAATTTTTGGCAATTTCTGTTAAATTTAAATTTTTGTTAAAATCATTTCGGACTCTACAGTGCTTCAAAGACTTATGTTTGAATGCATCGGAATCCTATACGAAAAATAGATTAAATAAAACCTCACGTTATTAAGTAAATTGATTCTGTCGAAATTTTTCGTTCTTTTCTAGATTGCAAAAGAAAAAGTTCTAAAACTACTAAAAATGTGTGGAATAATTGCCTTTTTGACCACGGACGATTGCCACGATAGCTGCATTCCGAATCTTCAAGCATCTCTAGATCTAATTAATCATCGTGGACCAGATAGTAGAGGTATTTGGATTGATTCTCATGGTCGTGTCGGACTGGGTCATAACCGTCTCGCAATCATCGATTTGGTTCATGGTCAACAGCCAGTCTCGAACGAGACAGATGATATTCAATTAATCGTCAATGGAGAATTCTACGAATTCGAAAGAATTCGTGCAGAATTAGAAGCAATAGGTCATGTATTTAAAACTAAAAGTGACAGTGAAATTGCAATTCACTTGTATGAAGAGCAAGGACTTTTATTTCTGAATTCACTTCGTGGCGAATTTTCTCTTTGTTTATGGGATGCTCGGAAATCGCTCCTTATTTGTGCACGTGATCGTTTTGGAATCAAGCCGTTATTTTATGCGAATATTAATGGCAGACTGGTTGTCGCCAGTGAAATCAAGGCGTTTCTTCCACTTGGTTTTAAACCCGAGTGGGATATTGATAGTTTAGTCAGTTGTGGGGTCATGTTCGATTCTCGAACAATGTTTAAAGGAGTTTCCAAATTGTTACCAGGACATTATATGACAGCGACTCTATCAGGATCTATCGAATTTCGTAAATATTGGGATGGTGATTATGCTGTTAAAAACATTGTCGAGACGCGTTCTACAGAAGAAATGATTAGTGGTGTTCGCAATCGATTAATTGAAGCAGTACGTCTTCGTTTGCGAGCAGATGTGCCTGTGGCTGTATATCTCAGTGGTGGTATAGACTCATCAGCCATTCTCGGAATTGCAACAAGTATTCTGCAAGAAACAGATCCGAATGCTCGAATGACTGCCTTCACAATTTCATTTGTTGATGGAAAAGATTTGGACGAAGGCGATATTGCCGAACGTACAGCAGCATATTGTCAAGCCAATTTCAAAAAACTTTCTGTATGCGAAGCAGATTTAAGTGCTGCTTTCGACGACGTAATTTGGCATTGCGAAGCACCCGCGGTCAATCTTAATGTTGTGGCCAAATTTCTTTTGTCTGAGATGGTACACAATGAAGGATTCAAAGTTGTGTTAACTGGCGAAGGAGCTGATGAACATTTTGCTGGTTATTCATTCCTCATGGCAGATTATCTCAGAGAAGAGGATATGGCATCTGGTTTTGTTATCGATCAACGATTGATGAAGTTAGAGGCAATTGAATCATCTACTACTATGTGGGATGCTCTCGGAAGTTATCCGATGTCGTATTCTGATTCAGTTGTCGGTCGGCGTATGCTCAATGGAATCAGCACTCATCGTGTTATGAGCACCATACATGGAATTCCAAGCGAGATGTTTACCGATACTGTTCTCCGACGTACTGGAGAACCAGATATATGCTATACGATAGCTGCATCTATCGATGGAATCGCTCGTTCCAGAGCTATTACCAAATGGCATCCTCTACATACAGCTCTTTATATGTACACAAAAGGATCACTTCCCAATTATCTATGTAATCATCTTGGCGATCGGACTGAAATGGCTCATTCAGTGGAAGGTCGTGTACCATTCTTAGATCATCCTTTAACGGAGTACGTTAATCAACTTCCTCCATCTGTAAAAATCAACTACCCCACTCAAAAATGGATTATGCGGGAAGCTACCAAGCCATACATAACTGATGAACTTTATCGTCGCGTTAAACATCCTTTTAACGCTCCTCCAGCACAGACCATGTACACACCTCATGGCATCTATCTGAACAAGCGTCTCACTCGCGAAACAGTTGAAGCACTTGGTTGGCTTCGTTGGGACTATGTGGAGAAGATGAAAAGGTCTTGTTTCGAAGACAAAAGTCGCTTGGCTCATAATATCCTCAATTTTATTCTCTCTTGTGTAGTTCTTAGTGAAAAGTTCGGTGTGAAACAATATGGAAAGTAGTAAATATTCATTCGATACTTCACATTTTTGAAAAAACCGTTGTTCAAATTCGATTAGTTCTTTGGATTCAAAATATCTTAATTAGAGATTACATTATAGTTGGAAAGGTTTATTTTGAAAAGCTAAAAGTAATATTTTCGTCATGAAAAGCGAAAAGTAAATACAAGGCTGAGTGAGCGATTGTGATGCCTCCATACATGATTGAGACTAATGATCGTTAGATTGTTCTCTATGACTCCATCTTGGATATCTTTGTTGTTCAATCGTGAGCATTTTTACTTGATTGAATCAAATGAATTTCAAAGAAAATTAAAGAAAAAGGTATAAATTGAAATATGTCGATGTTGACTTAAAGCTGCTGTAGTGGTTTTGAGAACGTTGAAAATTATGGAACTTGAAATTCATTTTTTTTTTTTCATATCCAGGTCAAAACGACTTCTATCATTAAACCGTGTGGATGTGACTGTAGGCGGCGAAGAGAAGACGAACACCTTCCACCTCCACCTCCACCTCCCACCCCATCTATACACGTCCATTGTGCAAACAACAGGTGCACCAATAAAAAAAGCTGTTTTATGTAAATTGTAGAGGTTTTCACACTGCATTTTGTGGTATATTTTGTTATTTTAAAACAATGTATTAAGTAATTGAAAATTAAAATGTAAAACACGGCTATTCAACCTGTCCCACACGTAACTAGTAGTTCATTTCCTTTCAATAGTTCTTTTTTTCTTTTCATCGCTCAAACAAGAGAGGAAGGAAAAATAAACAAAATAGAATACATGCTCACTGATTTCTCCGATCACTCAACATACTGCTACTGTTAGAATCTATGAAGAAAATTGCCATCATCTATATCAATCAATAAATTTTAGTTGATTCATCTCTGTGCAAGCGACGAGGAACGATTTAATATTCGTGATGTTTACAGCCCACTGGATTAATTTTTCTGCGAGAATTTTTAGAATGAATGAGTTCATCAAGTTCAAAACTGTAAACATATGTGTTATAAATACGGAAGATAAAGCGATTAATTTCAGCACTATTTTTGAACAGCACATGAAAAATTGATACTATTTAGAAAAATTATATTGACATAAACTAATCTATTCAATTTATGATGTTTTTCTATTGATTGATTAAAATAATCAATGAAGATGATGCTAAATATTATCAACTATTTGCGAACATCATCCATCATATAACTTTTCAATCGTAAATTGAAAAATTATCTCAATAGAGGCATAATAAAGAACAGCAAAATTTTTAGCAAATTAAATTCTTATGTGCCTTTTTCTTGATTTATAGTAATATAACATAGCTTTATTAACAAGATAATTTCACATACAAAAATCAAATAAAAGCAAGTTGAAATAAGATTGATAGATTACTATAATAATATATAAAGTCATTGCGTGCAAGTAAACATACAACATAAGCATTTCAAAATGTAAGTTGAGTAGAAACCCTTTTTTTCAAATCGAAGAAATATCAATAAAAAATTAGACACCATTACCATTTATTTTATCCAGCTATAAGAGATATTGAACAGAATACTTCAAAAAACAGATGGTCATTATTGATCATGGCGAACATATATTTTTCTTTATTTTAATTATTAGTTCATAAGGTAGAAAAAAAGAACATTATGATTATAATATGACGCACTTTAAACTCGTAAGTTTTGTTCATATCGATAAAATTTTTGTTTTTTGAAAAAATCTAGTTTTCTATATTTGATTTGTAGCTATATAAAAATCTTTTTCAATGGTTGTAGCAGTAACCAAGTATATTATTACTAGATTATTATTCATTTAATCATGTATCTTCGTAAATTTGACCATACGAGAGTCTTGTATCTAATTCAATATCAGATTCAACTAAATATTTTACTAATAAATCAGATTTAATATAGAAAGTTTTTCGAATTCGAAGTTTTAGTCTTTATTATTCACTGCACAAACTGATATGTTTCCGAAATTCAATTGGTGTTGTTTCGAAGCTTACATCTATGAGAAGAAATCAGAGTGAATCCTGACTACAACTTTTCCTCGCCTTGGTAAAGCACAGAAGAGACGTATATCAAGCTTCCAAAATACATCGATTCGTACAATGAATATCAAAGAGTAAAACTCACCATTTTCGATGCAGACCTTTAGATCATAGCCACATTTCTTTTTAATTTTTTTTATCAATAAGATAATTCTTATATAATTTTCCTTAGATGCTTATCATGTACAGATGTATTTGTAGAGCTTCTTCAAGAAAAGTACTGTCAAATAAAAGAATAATATGTTTCGTGAAATGTTTCTCAAGTATTTTGGTAAACTGATCAAAATATTGATGTACAGTTTTCTGTAGTTGAATCAAAAAAACTAGGTCACAATTTTGACATGACACAATCTTACATGAAAATATTAATATAATCCATGAAAAATGTTAATAATGCTTTTTAGAAGAATCATTTTCGAACTCACACTTTGAAGTTTATGTGAAGAAATTTGAAATTCAAAAAATGAAAATTGAAAAAACTCTTAATTCTTTGTGATGACTCAGGTCATGAAAAACTTGAGAAAATGGTAGGAATTTGAAAGCAAGAATTTGGTTGGTGTCTTTACTCGATCACCATCAAAGCTAAAAAATGCGACTGTCAGATTCAGTCACAGGATTCATGCTTCGAGGTTCTCATCATTTTATCGGGTTTCTTGACCGAGACCAACAGCAACTTGTCGGAAAATCATTGACCTAGGGAACAATAATTTAAAAATAGCTGAAAAAAAGCTCATTTATTCATAAACAGAACCATTTGGTATAACACCAATTGAAGTTTTTTCTCTTAGTTCACAAAGATAATCTTCATAAAATCGTACATCCTCGTGATTAGATCCAAATGAATGACGTGCAATATTAACAGCTTGTGATACATATTCAATAGCTTTTTTATATTCTTGTAAACTATCAAATACCATTGCAATATTATAATTAGTTACTGCTAATATTGAATGATTTGGTGAAAGAAATTTCTTTTGAATTTTAAGTGTTTTTTCATAATAAGAAAATGCTGTCATATAATCTTCGATTCGATAAAAAACTTTACCAATTTTATTATAAGTCTTGGCTATTGATACATATTGACGTGGAAAATGTTTAAGTTCATTTTCTAAAGCTGATTGATAATTTACAATAGCTTCAACAAATATTTCTTTTTCATTATAAATTTCAGCAATATGATTGTAAAGAGAAGCTATCTGTAGATGATCAATTTCTAATGCATGTATAGCAATATTTAATGCACATTTAAAGTTTCGTATTGCTTCATTTAAATTATTTTGCTTATGAAGAAGAATACCATTATTTAAATATTTTGAATAAAGACTAGAATTATTTTGTGATAAATGATTTGAAGAATTTTTTGATGATGTTTTAAAATCTAAAAGTGAATCTATTAAATGATTCTTTTTATTATAAATAAATTCAAGTTGTTCATGTAATATAGTTAAATGTTCTGAATTATTAATTGAATTTGATTCAATTAATGCTTTATATAATTCTTCAGCTTTATCTAATTGATTAATTTGAATAAAATAAAAACCTAATTGTTGCCATGAAGTTTGTCCTTTAATATGTTTTATTGGTTGAAGATAATCATTTAATTGTTGTTTATCATTATTAATTAAGATTAAATTTATTTGCCAAATTTTATCTTCAATTTGTTTTATGTTACCAATACGAAATAATGAATAAATAGAAAATAAAATTTCATTTTCAGAATTTAAATAATAACTTAAATTTTCTAATGAAATGTATTTTATTGATGAATTTATACTAATTCGAAATAAAACTCCGAATAAATTTGGATTATTTTTTGCAGAACGTGCAATACTTAATGATATTTGTCGATCAATATTTGTCCAAAGAAAATTATTAAATGAAAGAATACTATTCTTATTATTTTTCAATATTTCTATTTCATCTTCTAAAATTCCTTGTCCTCGATAAACAATCATATTATTTTGACCATCAACTTCATCAAATGATTGATTAATTTGTTGATGAAGATCTCGAATAAAGAAACCCATTTTAATAAGAAGTTTCAGATTTTGTTTACCAAAAGCTTGATTAATTGCTATATAAAGAAAACATTTTCTTGTGTACCACCAAATAGCTCTTGACGGAATATAATCTTCTTCAAATTCATTAATTACATTAGATTTATTGCGATATTGTTCCCGAGCAAAATTGATAAAATCTCTTTTAGATTTTTCACCATACGCAATTTCATCAAGAAGAATTTTTTTCAATAAATATTGAATAATAATTGATGATGAATTAAGTATTTCAATTGATATATTATCATTTTCTGATAGATAAAGTGTATCTTGAAGTTTTTTACATATTGGTTCAATATTAGTAAATATACCTTTTATTTTTCTATATTGATTTATCCATGATTTATCTTTTAATCTATCATTCGAAATAATATAAATTGCAATAAGTTGAGACATTTGATGAAGACAAGAAACAACTTTTTGAACGAATATGTCAGATAAAATTAAAAATATTTTTTCATCTTTAATATGATGTATAAATGCAAAAAATTCATTGATATCAATAAATAATTGAAAATAATTAAAACTATGACGAAATCGATCAATCAAATTTTGATTTTCATCAATATTTGTAGTTAACCAAATGATAATATAATTTTCAATTATTGGAGATTTACGATATTGTAGCAATCTATCTGACGAATCTTGTTTAACAGATTTAATAGGTGTTGATGTTAATTTATCTGCATTAATTTTACGTGGTACATCTGTTATAATCGGAGAAGAAATTCTTGGTAATGAGTCAGTTTTTATATAGAATACTAAAGAAGGTAATGCATCTGAACGATTTTGTGAGAATACATTGTAAGATTTGCAACATATACTTCCCATTATGTAGATTTTAAGAGATGTTGTTTTAGAAAGATTTGATTAATTTTGATAGAAATGTTT